AAGGTATTTTAATAATAACTTGGTTTCCATATACAAACTGTAGCGTACGGTTTTTAATCAGCTTTCAGCCTTTTTGAAATTCCAAAACGGAGTCTGTTTAAAATTGGGAGCAGGTCGGGGTGAAATAGATGTTAGGTTGCGGTAATTAGAATGTGGTCATGTTTGATTTGCTTGATAAATTGTCTGATTGATACTTTCAGGACCGTGTTACCATGGAGATGGACATCCAAGTCTAGCAAGACAAGCAACGCGACTTAGTACACACTGCAGTTTTAAAATAGAAATTCATTCAAAAAATACACACCAGCACTTTTAATAACACAATGATTTTATAAATAACAAAACTATGTAATGTACTGTACAACTTYACGTACGTCTTGGAACTTATCTACACTCTACAGAACTTTTCTGCGCTGTCTAGAACTACTTAAAAGACTTTTATATTATAGCTATCATAGTATGCGCTCTCTGATTGGTCAAATTAATTAATTAATTAATTTTAATTAAAATTATTTCACCGGTAAAAGCTCGGATACGAAAATGCTATAATATAAAAGCAATAAACAACATATTTTCGTGTGTTCCTGGTAAAATAAACCACTTTGGATATTGGGAAAACACTCAAAAACCTTATAATCTCTCGCCTCTGACTCGGTATAGTATTTTTTACGCCTTCTTCGTGTTCTCCCAACATCCCGCGTGGTTTATTTCACCAAAAATACACGAAAATACACGAACGCACGAAAAAATGTTGTTTATTGCTTAAATTTTCCTTCATCAACTACTGCCTACAACTGTCGCACACCACAATCAAGCCTACTCGCTATAGCTCTCTATTACACACTTAATTAATAGTACATTCAATAAAATACTACTTTTTCATTGGTCGAGAGGTGTACAATTACAGCGTTGTACTCCTTACAAAAATTTGTTTTACTAAATGTACACGTGCGATTTGCTATACATACACCCAAAGTATCGTTATAAAACATTATTACATAAACTACCGTTTTTTAATTCTCTTTGAAAAATAAAGATTTGTTATGCATTGTTTAGATATCATGATCTTATCACAATATATCTGGTTTGCTCAGTATAGTTCGTCATAAAAAAATAAATAAGAAAAATCATGCGAATTCATAATTAAAATCATTCCTAATTATAAATACTTTCAAACACTCTGAATGATATTAGTTTTCACTCCACACAATTCACTCTAGCCACCTCCGCAGACAACCCTTCATTTTGCCTTTTGGGATCCCTATGGTATTTCTTACCAATCCTTAAACCCCGTGCAACGGTCTTATCAGAATCAGGGGGAGAGGGGAGGGGCAGCTGGAGAGATCTGCGGAGGTGGCTAACCTCACACTATTTATAAGATAATTGTCTAATGTTTCGTCTACAAAACATCACTATAATGAATTTTGGACAGAGCATCAAAACCTCGTACCCAGGACCTTGTCACCTATTAACGGCTTGGGCACGACGTAGAGATGGTATAGACCTAATCGGCTAACGCGTTGCTGTAAACGTTTCCACCCAATTCAAACCACCCGGGAGTAAGTTTCATTGTTCGTTGTATTTTCATTTCACAGTTGAATTCTTAGAAACAAAAGTTCTTTTTCACACAGGGTTTGAATTGGGTTGTAACGTACATGGCAACGCGTTAGCCGATTATCTTGTGATATTAAATATTTAAATAAACGWTGTTCGTTATACATGTACGATATCTACAAGTGACGGCGAAGGCTTTGGGTCTCGTTTTCTGAGACCCAAGTGATCACGTGACGTGGTAAAGAGTTCYTGTTKACGTTGTCGTTGTAGTTTTTTCTTCCACTGAAAAGCTAGATCAGCGGCTTCTGCTGCTTCCGAMGACAATGGCGGACGCTTGACAAACTCCTRTGAAACAAAGAGAATCAGCCAAAAAGTAAATATTGAGCTTAACTAAAATAKGTMATGKTYTGAACGAGGAGGAGCCTGGGTACTATAACAACGTACTAGTGCAAGTACTATATTTGCATCATTTGTAGATTCAATGCTGTTAATAAATGAGCTTCAAGAAAGACAGCGCATCAAAATAGGTGGATTTGATGGTTTATCAGATAGTCACGCTGCTATAGGCTCTCAGATTTACAAGAGGAATAAATCAAACATATTAATTAATAAACTAGAACTATTTTATAGAATAGAACAGGGCTCTACAGCAAAAAAGGGTCGAGGAGGGAATGAGGTGAGGCAGGAGAGGACAGCATAAAAACAGGGGATAAAATATAAGGACAGCAATATTGGCAAGAATTGTCGACTTACTTGAACAGACGCTGCTTCKGCTGCGCGTAGTGTCTTCACCACTGCCTGCATTAAGTTCTCAGCATTCCTCACCAACATGGCGTCAGCCTGGAAACCAAACACATTTTAGTCAAACACAAATGAGCCAATAAGACATAGTCTTGTTCACGGTTCCCTGCGCCATCTACGCCGTGCTTTATACATTGTACTTATATACAGCCTTTTGCAAAAATTATGAGAATTGTCTAAATATCTAAATATCATAATATCCATATCCACATATTGTCCGGAACACGCGGGTTTGCTAGAATAATTCATTGTTGACATCGAGAAAATGTTCAGAACTACGGATAAGTCTGTCGCCAAAAAAAACTAAACTACAAAGACAAGGGACTAAGGGCATCGCGCGGGATTACCCATCATGCACTCGATATTATGATATTTAGATATTTCAACAATTCTCATAATTTTTGCAAAAGGCTGTACTTCAGATTTATATCTATTTATACAAATAACAAAAATACAAATAATGAAAATAATGATGAGATATGATATCTTTGTTTACCGATGGGTCGTTGGGTGCTGCCGATTTAACTGATGCCAATATCGTCAACTGTGTGCTCATAGTAGGTAGACATTCTGCGTAATATAGTAAGTCTTCACGGGATCTACAAAATACAGAAATACTTGAAAAATACTATACATCTCTTTTCTAAATGCTATCAGTAATATATTGTACATTTTAGACGTTAAAATAGTCCTTATAAAAAAACCTATTAGCCATTTTGGAGTTGAAATGAATTGTAATTTCTGTCATATTGAGCCAATCGAAAAACTAACCATATCACTAAAAAGACTTCCAAGTTCCAAGTTACAGATCATTTGGACAAATATTCAATTAATGAGAAGCCGTGCAATTTACAGAGAATGTATGGGGATTTTGACCGCGTCCCCTAAAACAATACATTTCTCTGTAAATTTGATGAAACTAGGAATAAATACTGTTCAGCTAGTTTTTATCCAAACGTTTTGAAACTTGGTATATTTACCAATTTTTGGATGTCCTTTCATGGGGTGGGGTTTGTTTCGTGATTAGATAAATATTTCTTTGATTAGTGCCCAGTCCCCTGAGCATAAAAAAAAACTACTTGCATTATTGAAAACGAAAAGCAAAAAAATAAAAACCGACCTTTTGCTGAATAGCTTTGCTGGACGTAAAATTTCCAGCCTTCCTTTCGCTAGTGCATTCTCTTCGACAAACTATCTTGGCAAAGCCGTATCATGGTGTATATAAACTCTTTACTCCGACGAAGGATTAACGCCCGAAACGTCAGTTAGTTGTTTCACCTACTTTTTTACGGTGTTAAATTTATCTTTTTATACAACTGTTTCTTTAGAAACACCGACGCAGCTCACACTAGTTAACCGCTAGTCTCTACAGTTTTGCATATAAACTAACCTGTGATCTGCACATGAGTCAGCTATGACTTGAGCGAAGTTTTGAATGATTCTACTGTTCGCTGCTATAGCTTTAGCTGTGTTTGTCATCTCTACTCGATCCTGAAACGAATACAAATCATTTTAATTTGTGTTTTTAATGCTGAATTTTCAGTTTCAGTGATAGATATATGGTGGTATATAGTGCAAACTTTATAACCCTGAAACAATAATGACTAAAAATACCTGAAGTTTTCCTCTTCGTCTTGCAAACTGTGCCATTTCCATCATTTGCTGCGCCATCTTCTTGGCGATTTGTACGATGGAGTTATGATCTTCCTCCCATCGGTCGACTTCGTCTACCAAAAAACGCGCAGCCCTCTGAACGAAAACCCATCAACCATAAATAACGCAAAATACAAACACATTCATTATCAAGTGCGGATTAAAGTCGAGCTCTGAAAGTAAGATATCAGTAGTCTTCCTTTACCTCACGTATTGTAATGCATTGTGGGATTAATTTATGCCGAAAACAAAAAAAAAACTCCGCCATATTTTATCCTAGGCATATCGCACAAGGCATTGCGTACACGGTATATGACGTAAAAGCTTCAGAGGTCTATAATCACCTCATATAGAAACAAAGAAAGTTATAGTGCTTATAACTATCCTTTGTGTCTATATCATGTCTATCTCATAGTGCCATGCGGTCCTCATATTCATATTACAATCACCTCAATCGATTTGGAACTCTTTCTATTCCGTAAATCTTCAGTCGATTCAGAAATCCATTCAGAATTATTCTTGGAGAGGTCGGCCATGCTGAAAGCTCTTTGTTGCTTCTTCTTTCGATTCACTTCAAACTTTGCCCAGTACCTAGCGTCCCACTTTGACCGTTTGAGAGACTCGTTGGATGAGAATCTGTCGTGAAGTTCTGCAACTAGTAATGACCTGAGGTCTGTCTCACTGCTAGATGCACCAATAGGGACACGAGGTTTGGGAGGTTCTTCGCTGTCACTCACTGCACGACGATCAGACTGACCAATAAATATCAACAGAATATCAATATATAATAATAAAAGAGAGATGATAGATTTATGGATAATAATCAGGTTACACTGATTTCAAAAGTCATGGTTCTCGCTCCTCATATTTTCGGTCAGTTTAGCGACAAAACGGCTAAAGAGCAAAACACGTGCCATTACCTTTTCGCGGAGTTTGTTTGGTCTTGGAAAGGTTTTAGGAGGAAATCTTTTCTTAACTGGTGAGGGTGAACCAGAACAACCGGTCGATTCTCGAGAAGAGTTAAAAAGATGGTTCTCGCTCCTCATATTTTCGGTCAGTTTAGCGACAAAACGGCTAAAGAGCAAAACACGTGCCATTACCTTTTCGCGGAGTTTGTTTGGTCTTGGAAAGGTTTTAGGAGGAAATCTTTTCTTAACTGGTGAGGGTGAACCAGAACAACCGGTCGATTCTCGAGAAGAGTTAAAAAGACTTGCTTGTGGAGGGGAGCGAGAAGGACTGCTCGATACTCGAGAAGAGTTAAAAAGACTTGCTTGTGGAGGGGAGCGAGAAGGGCTGCTCGATACTCGAGAAGAGTTAAAAAGACTTGCTTGTGGAGGGGAGCGAGAAGGNCTAGAACTATTTTATAGAATAGAACAGGGCTCTACAGCAAAAAAGGGTCGAGGAGGGAATGAGGTGAGGCAGGAGAGGACAGCATAAAAACAGGGGATAAAATATAAGGACAGCAATATTGGCAAGAATTGTCGACTTACTTGAACAGACGCTGCTTCGGCTGCGCGTAGTGTCTTCACCACTGCCTGCATTAAGTTCTCAGCATTCCTCACCAACATGGCGTCAGCCTGGAAAACCAAACACATTTTAGTCAAACACAAATGAGCCAATAAGACATAGTCTTGTTCACGGTTCCCTACGCCATCTACGCCGTGCTTTATACATTGTACTTATATACTTCAGATTTATATCTATTTATACAAATAACAAAAATACAAATAATGAAAACAATGATGAGAAATTATATCTTTGTTTACCGATGGGTCGTTGGGTGCTGCCGATTTAACTGATGCCAATATCGTCAACTGTGTGCTCATAGTAGGTAGACATTCTGCGTAATATAGTAAGTCTTCACGGGATCTACAAAATACAAAAACACTTGAACAATACTAGACATCTCTTTTCTAGATGCTATCAGTAATACATTGTTCATTTTATATGTTAAAATAGTCCTTATAAAAAAATTCAGATTGAGTGTTTTCTGCTCAAATAGCATAAAAAACTACTTGCATTATTGACAACGAAAAGCAGAAACGAAAACCCGACTTTTTAATGAATAGTTTAGCCGACGTAAAATTTCCAGCCTTCCTTTCGCTCGTGCATTCTCTTCGACAAACTATCTTGGCAAAGCTGTATCATGGTGTATATAAACTCTTTACTCCGACCAAGGATTAACGCCCGAAACGTCAGTAAGTTGTTTCACCTACTTTTTTTTACGGTGTTAAATTTATCTTTTTACACAACTGTTTCTTTAGAAACACCGACGCAGCTCACACTAGTTTACTGCTAGTCTCTACAGCATATAAACTAACCTGTGATCTGCACATGAGTCAGATATGACTTGAGCGAAGTTTTGAATGATTCTACTGTTCGCTGCTATAGCTTTAGCTGTGTTTGTCATCTCTACTCGATCCTGAAACGAATACAAATCATTTTAATTTGTGTTTTTAATGCTGAATTTTCAGTTTCAGTGATAGATATATGGTGGTATATAGTGCAAACTTTATAACCCTGAAACAACAATAACTAAAATACCTGAAGTTTTCCTCTTCGTCTTGCAAACTGTGCCATTTCCATCATTTGCTGCGCCATCTTCTTGGCGATTTGTACGATGGAGTTATGATCTTCCTCCCATCGGTCGACTTCGTCTACCAAAAAACGCGCAGCCCTCTGAACGAAAACCCATCAACCATAAATAACGCAAAATACAAACACATTCATTATCAAGTGAGGATTAAAGTCGAGCTCTGAAAGTAAGATATCAGTAGTCTTCCTTTACCTCACGTATTGTAATGCATTGTGGGATTAATTTATGCCGAAAACAAAAGAAACTCCGCTTTTTTTTATCCTAGGCATATTGTACAAGGCATTGCGTACACGGTATATGACGTAAAAGCTTCAGAGGTCTATAATCACCTCATATAGAAACAAAGAAAGTTATAGTGCTTATAACTATCCTTTGTGTCTATATCATGTGTATCTCATAGTGCCATGCGGTCCTCATATTCATATTACAATCACCTCAATCGATTTGGAACTCTTTCTATTCCGTAAATCTTCAGTCGATTCAGAAATCCATTCAGAATTATTCTTGGACAGGTCGGCCATGCTGAAAGCTCTTTGTTGCTTCTTCTTTCGATTCACTTCAAACTTTGCCCAGTACCTAGCGTCCCACTTTGACCGTTTGAGAGACTCGTTGGATGAGAATCTGTCATGAAGTTCTGCAACGAGTAATGACCTGAGGTCTGTCTCACTGCTAGATGCACCAATAGGGACACGAGGTTTGGGAGGTTCTTCGCTGTCACTCACTGCACGACGATCAGACTGACCAATAAATATCAACAGAATATCAATGTATAATAATAGAGAGATGATACATTTATGGATAATAATCAGGTTACACTGATTTCAAAAGTCATGGTTCTCGCTCCTCATATTTTCGGTCAGTTTACCGACAAAACGGCTAAAGAGCAAACACACGTGCCATTACCTTTTCGCGGAGTTTGTTTGGTCTTGGAAAGGTTTTAGTAGGAAATCTTTTCTTAACTGGTGAGGGTGAACCAGAACGACCGCTCGATTCTCGAGAAGAGTTAAAAAGACTTGCTTGTGGAGGGGAGCGAGAAGGGCTGCTCGATACTCGAGAAGAGTTAAAAAGACTTGCTTGTGGAGGGGAGCGAGAAGGGCTGCTCGATACTCGAAAAGAGTTCAATAGTCTCGCATCTCCTGGAGACGAACTCAGCAAATTCGAAAAATCGGACTTCCTGAAGGACTCGCTTTCTGTTGGTGGATGAACGGTTGCAAGGAGATTGTCAACAACAGCTAAAAAACAAATAGAACGCATATCACATTCAATATCTTTACATAGTAAGGCCTGGTACGAGAAAATTTCACCGAAATGAAATACAACGTCAAATTGTACAAATACAATTCGATTCACTTAGAATTAACAATATAACATATGTACCATCATGACTTTTTGGGGAAGTTAATGTCGGATTAGCTCGACGTTTGAATCAGTCTATGCCATGGGGCATTAACTGCAATCCAGCCTTAGCCTGGTTTTCACTAGGACATAAGCATAAGCAGAGACCAAAAGAAAAGACAGAGGAATAAGATATAGACATAGACATAAGCATAGTAATAAGCATAAACATAAGTTAATTATAAGAAAAATGCTGAAAAATCCTAATGCCAAAAGGATAGTGAAAACCAGGTTTAATGAGTAACACTAATATTATGTTTATCATTGCCTTTGGCGGTAAAGAACCGTTCAACTAAACTTACATTGGACAGCCGTAGGATTGGCATCGTGTAACTCACGAAGAATAGCGATCAACATATGAGCCTTGGATGCCCACTGTCGGCGAAGAAGTTGAAAATGTTCAACGGTGGGTTGGTCAGGGTTATCTAAAACATTCCATATTATAAACAAACTACTGATGAACACAGGAACAAAAACTGCGTTGACATTAATTAAATGTATGTTGGGAATGGTGAATGGTGATGGGATGAAGATGCTAGAGCAATATGAAGTTAATGTGGCAGCAAAGCAAGGACAATAACAAGGACGATAACAGCCATAACATAGTGTTGACATTAATCAAATGTGTGTTGGGAATGGTGAATGGTGATGGGATGAAGATGCTAGCAATATGAAGTTAATGATTGTGGCAGCAAAGCAAGGACAATAACAAGGACGATAACTGCCATAACAACAANCTGCTCGATACTCGAGAAGAGTTAAAAAGACTTGCTTGTGGAGGGGAGCGAGAAGGGCTGCTCGATACTCGAGAAGAGTTAAAAAGACTTGCTTGTGGAGGGGAGCGAGAAGGACTGGTCGATACTCGAGAAGAATTCAATAGTCTCGCATCTCCTGGAGACGAACTCAGCAAATTCGAAAAATCGGACTCCCTGAAGGACTCGCTTTCTGTTAGTGGTTGAACGGTTGCAAGGAGATTGTCAACAACAGCTAAAAAACAAATATAACGTATATCACATTCAATATCTTTACATAGTAAGGCCTGGTGCGAGAAAATTTCTATCACCGAAATGAAATACAATGTCAAATTGTACAAATACAATTCGATTCACTCAGAATTAACACGCTGCAAATATAACATATGTACCATCATGACTTTTTGGGGAAGTAATGTCGGATTAGCTCGACGTTTGAATCAGTCTATGCCATGGGGCATGACTGCAATCAAGCCTTAGCCTGGTTTTCACTAGGACATAAGCATACTTAGCAGAGATCAAAAGAAAAGACAGAGGAATAAGATATAGACATAGACATAAGCATAGCAATAAGCATAAACATAAGCTAATTATAAGACAAATGCTGAAAAAATCTAATGCCAAAAGGGTAGTGAAAACCAGGTTTAATGAGTAACACAAATAGTATGTTTATCATTGCCTTTGGCAGTAAAGAACCGTACAACTAAACTTACATTGGACAGCCGTGTGATTGGCATCGTGTAACTCACGAAGAATAGCGATCAACATATGAGCCTTGGATGCCCACTGTCGGCGAAGAAGTTGAAAATGTTCAACTGTGGGTTGGTCAGGATTATCTAAAACATTCCATATTATAAACAAATACTGATGAACCCAGGAAAAAAACTGAGTTGACGTTAATCAAATGTGTGTTGGGAATGGTGAATGGTGATGGGATGAAGATGCTAGCAATATGAAGTTAATGATTGTGGCAGCAAAGCAGACAATAACAAGGACGATAACAGCCATAACATAGTGTTGACATTAATCAAATGTGTGTTGGGAATGGTGACTGGTGATGGGATGAAGATGCTAGCAATATGAAGTTAATGATTGTGGCACCAATAATACAGCCATAATAATAACAACATAAGTTACAGTAATAACAAGAATATCAACCAAAATGTTGCCCACAAACGGTAAAATAAGAACTTAACAACAACAACAACGACAACAACAACAACAGCGGCAACGAAGTTGCTCAATTAACAACAACACTAACCTGCCAAGGCTCTGGCTGATCCTATAACCTGCGGGGTTAGTCTATCAATAAAGTCTCCAGTAACGCGAACACTTCTTACATGTCCAGCATGACTTGAAGTTTCAACTGCTTTGCTTGCTTGACTTCTAACCCTCGCCACACGACTTGACAGCTCTTGGGCTTGAACCTCGAACTCTCGCTCTAACAGMAGACGTCTCGTTACATCGGCCTTTGTGACAGCTAACGCAGCACCTGCTAAGCGGTCTACTGGTGCAGAGACATGCGCTGTAAGGTCATCTACCAGAGCTGTAAGTAGATGGACCTGTAAAACACCAATTTTGTAAACTATGATGTAAAAGGAAAACGCAAGGTATCATATTAAATAATATACGAACCTTGGTAGCCCACTCACGACGTATAAGCTTCATTTTCTCTTCAATACTCATAAAAGCCAGCTGTTGTTGTAGTGATTTGTTTGGAAYAACACTCAAATCAGCGACAGCATGAGCGGTCTCTTGCAAGTCAGCCGTGAGCCGTTCAATAGACGACATTGTTGACTCTACTAGAACAGCTTTCTTTGGGTTGGTGCATCTAATAAACACMAGTCATTACTATTGGTAATAGTAGTAATACTTAGATAGACAATAGATGTCCGAATAGACAATAGATGTCCTACGTGATTTTCAATGCATTGTGGGGTCAGTTTCTCGGAAAAGCAGAAACTCGCCATGTTTGTCCCAAACACATCCTACAATGCATTGTGGGTACGGCATATAACGTAAAAGCGTCAAAGTTCTATTGARCAATATTCTTCCTGAAAATTTCACGGTAACTACCGTGTAGTGCAATTAGTGCAATTGCTTTTGCAAATGAAAAACGGTTCTTAGGTAATAACATTTGTCAGATATCTTACCCTGCAGTTGCAGCACTAGACATGTCTTTCAAAGTCCGCGTATAAGAGACAACCCTCTTGATTCTCTCCTGTAAAGCCAAGCTGTCACTAACCATGGCCGCGTCGGTAAGRTGCTCGACTGGTGCCGACGTACCCACAATGACGTCATCGACTGCAGTGATTAARTCATTAACGTTACAAGCCCACACACGRCGTAAGAACTCCAGGTGTTCMAGTCGACCCATGTCGGTAGGGTTCACTATAAGAGACTGGGAACAAGGGATTTAAATAAATAACTGATTGGTCTTATTTTACTATGACGTCATATCAAAATAGTCTATTGTTTTAACGCTAAGGATTATGGTCGTCAGAGGGAAACAGAACGTCGACAAACTTACTGGACAGAAATGACAACACGATTTCCAACAATATAAATGGTGTGCAAGCAATAATGTAATTAAGCAATAAACAACACATTTCACCAGGAACGCACGAAAATGTTTTGTTTRTTGCTTTTATTTTATAGTATTTTCGCATCCGTGTGTTTRCCGCTGMTATAAACAATARCATTTGACAGAGAGCGTGTACTATGATAGCTATAATATAACATATGATTTGAACGCAGACTTTTCAGCGAATCTGTTTCCACTATAAACATGTTGTGACGTCATAGTGAAAGTATTMAATGACAATAACAWTCAAGCCAACCTGTGCGGCTAAGATCAGTTCAGGGATGACTTTGTCCGTYTCCTGTGACGTTGCCCGTAGTAACTTGATGCGTTCATAGGAGTCTGGRTTCCGYTCGAAGTCATCGCTTTCGTTCCCAGGATCCATTGCGTAATCTTCTGCATCGGCTGCTGCAATGGTTGACAGGGCTAGTTGACGCAGACGGACGGCCTCGTCATTGATGTTGTTTATCTGATATAGAATAAACAAATGAATGATCAAAAGAAAGATAAATGAAATAATAAATGGATGGATCAATGGATGGACAAATGAGTGGATATGGAAAGTGAACAAATGAACACATGAGAGGAGATATTTGCTTTAGCGTRAATAAAGKCCCGTTTACACATGCGATTTTTGCAGAGCGATTYTCGCACGACCATAGCCTGAGTTTCGAACATTTCCGATGGARCACAACTTGTGATATGTTCGATTAAAAAACAATCCGCGGTAGGAAAAATGTGAGATTTCCCATTTTTCTCTTTACCTTCCTTTTCAGTTCAGCGGTATCCCCAGACATCGCAGCGAGGGCAAGTTTAGAAGCAGCAGCTGACCAAGGCGTTACMATAGCATCTATTGCGTCACCAAGAACGTGAGCTTTTGATGCCCACTCTCGTCCAATCACCTGTAACCGTTCAAAGCCTCTCTTGTCACGTGGGTTTGACGTCATGTCACGCGCTGCTTGAGTGATTATTGGTGTCAGTTTCTCTATTTCAGCGGATGCAACTCGAATTCGTCTGAAAGAAGTTTTTAGGCGGTTAAATGAGAAAATGTAGCTAAAATACTCGACGTGATTCGTGTTCCATTTGACATCCACAGTTTGAATGCAAAATTCACCAGAAGTTGTCTGAATGTAACCTGTGTAGCGGCCCTACCTTCTCGTACACAGGGATGCCAAGAGGGCCCCTGCACAGGCTAGTAATTGTAAAAGAGTAGACTTGTTCTAGATCCACCTCAGCAGCTGACAAACGTTGCTTACCTAATTTSCTCACCATGTTGAGACTTCTCTATGCATTTCTCTGCTAAGCCCATGAGTCGAGTGGCTTGTGAAATGACGTTTTTAATGCTTCTTTCGATGCTATTACGGTCACCATTCCTAGCAGTTTGCAAGAGACCCATGACAGGAGCCGTGCATGTACGAGATAGCTGAAAAGGCTCACCAAACAGACGACTATCACCGGCAACTCCTGAAATAGTTACATATGAGCTAAACATTGCTACACAAAAAATAATTCGTTTTTTCTCTTTGGTTGATACAGCTATTCCAAACAATATGGAATACTGAAGGTAAGGTATTTCCAAACCGTAATGCTTTGGTGAGGTTTTCATCACCATTTCAAACTGATTGTGCCAGGTCTGTAACGTCACTTATGTAATAGCCCCATAGCAACAATGCATTTCGTTCTTGGAATACACAGTGTTGTATTGGGTATTCAATCCACAATGTTTTTTTCTAGAAATAGCTGGCGCAGCATAGTCTTTGCATTTGTTCGCTTCTAATGAGACAAGAAAGTACTAAGCCATGTGGGATATGATTAGAAATCATAAAAGAGCATGCGTAGTAAGATCCATATTACATATGCTCTTTGTTGCTGGTTTAGTTATTTGTGCATGTTTTAGTTTTAATTCTTAACCCAGTTTACCTAGAAGCGATTTTTTGTCAGCTTCATTCATTCCCTTGTCAGCTTTCTCGTCAAAATACTGATCAAAACCACGTGATTCGTCGCTAGACACGCTTAAAGACGACGGTGAAGACGTTCTCTTGGGTTGACGACTTTCCTCCTACACAAAAACCTAACGATTAGTAACTCGATCAGCTAACCAAGAAACAAAGCCTGAACAACCAACCAATTAAACTCCACCAACCAACGAATCAACCCGCCAACCAACCAACCAATCAACCAACCAACCAATCAAACCACCAAACAACCAATCAAACCACCAACTAACCAACCAATCAACCAAAAATTCAACAAATCAACCAACAAATGAACCCACCAACCAACCAATCAACAAATGAACCCACCGACTAACCCACCGACAGACAATGTTTCCTGTAATAGAGCTGCCATGCTACTTTTAATCGCTGTTTTCATATCAAATAAAATACTCACCCGAYTAACGTGTTTTGTCAAGTCATCGTGGTCAGTAGTCGACGACAAATCACTACCATTGTAAGACTGATGTACCGGGGGCGATGGACGCTCATCATAACGAACTGACAATAAAGATTAAGCATGATCAGAATTTCTAAATCCACCGTATCAACGTATAGAAAAACAAGTGCAAATCCCATAAAAGCAAAAGGTCCGATTAAAGGAGATTGATGGATTAAAAAGTCAAGGAAGAACAAGATGTACTGAATTGGCAAACAAGYAGAATCAGTTTATTTCGTACTTTTTTGACAAACATTACAGATTATGAGAAATAAGATAAGGAAAGAAAAACGTCTGATTGTAAACGTATTGTGCGAAGGAGCAAGCGCTGCCACTAACAAAGAAATTTGTACCAGATCACTACACCAGAACATACTGAGTGTAATTTAGGATCATCATATGTTTTAATCTTAAAAGATTTCCTGCGAACCTCAAGCTACAGCTTGACATCAAGCTCTTGCATAATAACAATACTATTTGAGTGCAACATATGAGTGATAACTATACCACGTGATTTCAGGACGATGACCGGGCTTCCTGTGACTTTACTCTGAATGGAATTTACTTTCTCTGCGATCGACGACGCATGCTTGTGAGCCATGTCACGTGAGATGCGGTCGGACGAATACGACAGGACTTTATCGACGGCTTGAATTAGTCCAGGGAGACCTGGGAAATGAACAATTAAACATTTCCTAAATGATTATTAGTATTTGTAAAGCTTTTAAAAGTGGCATCTTTTTTAGTATCCACCTAACCCCGACCAACGTAGTAGCCATACCCCGGGGCGGTCTCCCTAATATCAAAGGGCGGGGGTCCTCGGCGGAGATTGTGAAAATGACCCCTAAAAGGGACCTCTATTGTGGAGATGATGGGCGTGGCAGTGCTGAAATTTCAACCCTAAAAGGGACCAATCAATAACAGATCATTTTGTTTTGGTTTACCGATNAATATCTGATTCTAACTTCATAAAAGCTTTCCTTAGCTTTAATATTAATAGCAATTCTATGTGGGGAACATAGCAAATTAGAAGCATCTTTTGGCTATTGTTTTGAGTGCTTATGATTGGACAAGATCTTTTAATACAAAAGAAACTTTGTTTCAAAACAGAGTTTATCCACATTTTATTTTAAAAATGTGTTACACATAGGCTGATATATAATCAGTGTGAAAACCAAGACATTCGTATGTGGGGAAGTTGCAATTGCCGCAGAACAATAGAAGGTTGCCTGCTTTTTGCGTCTTTTTTAGTATCCACCTAACCCCGACCATCGTAGTAGCCATACACGTACCTGATTGAAATCCGTCCAATGGTATCAAGATCTCCCTATCGAAGGGATCAGAGGTACTCGCCAGGGCTTTCTTGGTTATCTGGGCAAATCGCTGTCCTTTAGTCAACAAACCTTCAGATTTCTCTGTAATTTGAACGAAGTTRTTCGCCTCGAGAGCATCTTGAAGGTCAGAGAGTTCCTGGTAGAAACTGTTTCCTATTTTAATAAAATAACAATATCATAATTATTGTCACGTCTGTAACATCATCAAGCTTATTATTTCTTATCATAAATCTTATCTATACTTTCTGAAATAAAGCATAAATTATCACGTGAATTATCAAAACTAAAAACACCGACACAGCTCACGCTAGTTGGACGACAAGTTTAAATCTTTACGAAAAAATCAAATCCTCTTCACTTCTTCTTCCTGTTCTCTATTGAATAGCGTCATGGCAGAAGGCATGATTTTCAGGTCTTGAATTGGAATCTCATGTTTGTGTACATCGTTTTAGTGAGGCTAATCATTTGAGAGCATGAGAATAGTGGTGTATATGCCAGATCTCACCTGAGACTTTTAGCAAGTCCTGCAAGTCAGTTACGTCATCTAGAGCATCTACCAATAGCTGAACCTTACTCATCCACTCACGAGACAGGAAACCCAATCGACTAACAGCAGCTTGATCAGAAGAGTTTTGCTTTACGGCCATTGCGGCTGACATAAACATTGGTAGCAGGCTCTCAAGCTTGGTAGATGCCTCCTTGATGGCATGGACTTCTGTGAGATGAAATGTAAGAATAGAAGGTCATACGAACAGAAGACAAACAGACGAACAGAAGACAAACAGAAAGGCATACATAGATGATTGGACATACTTTGTGTATCAGATGATAAAGATGCAGCATGCATTGACAACTGTATTATCTTTGAGGCGTGTAAATGAAAGTCATCTACAGCTTGTTTCATTGCTTGGTCTTGATCTTCTGCCTGTCAACACACCAAAGATGTCAACGGACAGCCAGGCTACTAATTAGCACATCTMATATCAAATATTATGAACAGAAGAAAATGGTACTGAATGGAAACGATTAACTGGATAAATGGAAGAACAAATTGTCAGAAGCCAGATTCAATGGATAAAAGATGAAA